CCTGCTGATTGATATTTGGAAGTAGCACAGTAAATTAGAAACTTTAGGTTTTGATAATATATTTAAAGTTATGTGGTTGTCGGTAAAATGCTATTTACATTTTAGTTATTATTGGTTACGTACTTAACACTAAGGTTATTATATATTAAGGTTCTGAACTTTATTTTTGGCCCATGTACAGACCTTATAAGGTTCCTATGAGATTTTGGTTAGGTGGTACTAAACAAAAATAATTAGTTATTTTGGTAGACATGCAATAAATATATAGTGCTCTTTTGATTTAAATGAAAGATTGTTTTTCCCTGAACCTTTACACATAATTTCAGAAATTTATTATTATTTTAAGGCAACTTGTTTCTTTAACTAAATTTCCCAGCAAAAATTATTCAAGTATTGATTTCCATATATTATCTTCCCTAAACAGTTTCTACTACAACAGCTACCTCCATATTAAGGACCACAACAGGTAAAAAATAAATGCTTATTTTTTTTTAACTTCTAAATTAGCAGCAACCATTTAGGCATTTTGGCCCTATTTTCAAATATGTATGTATGTATGTATGTATGTATTTTGTAAATGCCAAATAGTAGGATCTACATCTAAATTGTAATATGAGTAAAGAAACATCTCTATTTGGAGCTTATGTGTCCCAAAAAGAACATTCCCCATGTTACTAATTTGGAAAAAGTGGCAACTAAAGAAAATTCTTTGAAAATAATTTACAATTTTTTTACTAGCATCAAATAACTTTAATTAAAACAGTAGCCAGTATATTAAATTAAATTAAAACAGTAAATCAAAACAGTATATTAAAATGTGTGAACATCTGATAAATAAGTTGAACTATTACATTTAATTATTTATTTGCATTCATCCAATACAACATGTCTTCAACACCTTTTTTTTAAAAAATATATATTTTATTGATTTTTTACAGAGAGGAAGAGAGAGGGATAGAGAGTTAGAAAGATAGATGGGAGAGAAACATCAATCAGCTGCCTCTTGCACACCTCCTACTGGGGATGTGCCTGCAACCAAGGTACATGCCCTTGGCTGGAATCGAACCTGGGACCTTTCAGTCCGCAGGCTGACGCTCTATCCACTGAACTAAACCGGTTAGGGCTCTTCAACACCTTTTTTAACATACATTTCCAAATATTTGTTTCCTCCTTTGTATGGCAATTCCATTGGCAACCAGTAGCTCAGGCTCAGGTAAGCCATAATATCGAGCCACAACTTAATCAAGAGGGCATTAAAAAATTCAAAACTTCCCTTTGCTATAGTATTTAGGTGAAATTTTTGTTTATTTATATTGTTTTGTAAAATATCTTAGGGGAGGAGTCCAGAAAAATATTATACAAAATAAGTTTTTTGACCTTTTACATGTGTACTATAGATTTTAAAAATTTAATTTCACATTTTAACATCCATTCACTTATATGGTCAAATCTATTTGAAACATTCATTTTCACCCATTTAATATATGATAATAGATGTTCTCAGAAACATAATTTTCCCTTCATACAAATTTAATTTTTTTAAAATTTTTTTCTTTAAAACAGCAACATTCATTCCAGGGATTACAACATCAAGCAGTGAGACAACAGGTAGGTGAATTAGAAAGCCTATAAAAGGACAAAGTTTTTTACATGTATTAAAATTGTTTTATCTCAATTTACTTATTAGAATTAACATACCCAGTCTCCAATACTTAGGACCTTTTCTTTCTCCAACTTCACACTATTTCTCTTCCTCCTATTATTTCTTTCTTTCTTCTAATCTATATATACATGTACTTAAATCCATGGTATTTTTATGGAGATATTATTGACATATAACATTATATTAGTTTCAGGTATGTAACATAATGATTCAATATTTGTATATATTGATAAATGGTTGCCACTGTACGTCCAGTGGACATCCTTGATGGCAGAGACCATGGTTTGCCATTCCTGTGTTCCCAATTGCACCCAATCCCAATCTATAGAATAGTTAGCATTCAATATTTTTTCAGGATAACAAAGATCAGAAGAAAAAGAATTTTTTTTCTGCTAAAATGTAGCGAGATATTAGGGTTGTTTGAGATGTGGAGGGAATGCAACTCTTTGCTATTATCTTGTTCCCTGGGTAAAGTACTTTTGATCAAATACTGGATCAAATACTTCACTGAATTAAGTACTTCTCACTGGCAATTAGGCTTTATTTTATTGTTTTTACCAAAACTTGAAAAGATGAAATAAAACATTTTAAAGTTTCTTTCCATAAATTTAACAGTGTAGAGATTCTCCAGAGGACTAAAAATAGTTCTGTATGACCCATCAATCCTACTACTAGATTTGCTAAAGAAAACAGAAACATTAATTCAAAAAGATATATGCACCTCTATGTTCATGCACCACTGTTTACAAAAGCCAAGATATGGAAGCAATCTAGGTGTTCATCGATAGGTGAATGCATAAAGAAGATGTGCTCTACATATATAATGGAATATTAAAAAAGAATGAAGTCTGGTCATTTGTGACAGCATGGATGGACCTGGACAGTATTATGCTGAGTGAACTCAGACAGAGAAAGACAAGTATCCTATGGTTTCACTTATATGTGGAATCTGAAACAAAACAAACGAACAAACAAAACAAAAATAAATTCAGAAACAGAGACCAAAGGAATGGCTACAAGAGGGAAGAGGATGAGTGGATGGGTGAAAACGGTGAAGGGCAATATGGTCAGTAATATTGTGATAAGTTTGCACGGTGACAGGTGATCGCTATAATTAGTGAAGTGATCACATTGTAAGATATAAAAATGCTGAATCACTGTTTTTCACCTGATATTAATATAACTAATATATTGTATACCAACTATACTTAAAATTTTTAAGAAAGATACTAATGAAACTCTGAAATAGTGACTCTAAATAAACCCTGTCTTCCCAATTAAATAAACAAACAAATAAAAAATTATCTTGCTCAGATGACCAAAGGCATTACTGTCAAATAGAAGGAGAAATGACTAGGTCCTCAAGAGAGGATTGATGGTTCCTTTGACTTTATACTCGAGCATCTCGGATAGAAGCTGAGGTATGAACTCATTGCTGAGCCTGTCATTGAGGTACATAGCACAGGATTCAAGTGTACTTTTGACAAATTTAGAAAAACATTATAGAAATCTTTAAAAGCATAAGAGGAGCGATATACAAAGCTTAAACATTTTTCCATGTCTTATATATCCATTTTCTTTTTCATATAGTACGTGCTTCAAAGGGTTAAAATACCATGAGAGATGCCTACCCAACCATTTCAATTAAGTATGTTATTTTTAGAAGAAATATATGCAGTTCTATTTTTCCCCTGTTTAAATTGACAGATCTTGACACAGAGCTAACCTTTACTGAGCACTGTTCTAAGTGTGTGACATATGTTATCATATTTGATACAGAAAACTCTGTGAAGTGGGTCCCATCGTTTCCTCCAATTTACAAATGCAGAAATGGAAGCACGGAGAGGTTAAATTATATATCGAGTTCCTTGCTAATAAGTAGCAGAGAGAGGAGTAAAATTCAGAACATCTTTTTCTAGATTCCACTTGTCATGCTTCTGTGTTTTGATGTTTAAGAAAGAGAATAAAGTTTAATTTAATTTAAGTCCATTATTGAAGTAGCATATAATTACAGATTCCAATTTCAAAGTGGACTTGTGTCACAGTCCTAGGTCCTAGGTGACTTAGATTTTAGTCTCAGTTTTGTCACTGACTAGCAATGGTCTTGAAAAAATTACTTCAGTTTTCTGAGTCCAATTCTTCAAATGTAGAATAGTTACAATACTTTTATTCCATTCTTTCTTTCATTCATTCATTCATTCATTCATTCATTCATTCATTCATTCATGGGTTTATTCATTCATTCTGTTGACAAATACTTACCAAACATCTATTATGTGGTAGGTACTCTAATGTTTTTAGAGATATAAAGGTAAGTTAAAATAGACATGCTTCCTGCATTCTTAAAACCTAGTCGGGATATCAATCAAGTAATTACAAAAACAAATGAAAACTTCCATCTAGAGCTGTGAAGTGCTTAGAATGTGGGTGAAGAGAGTAGAGCAGGGGTTTGATTAAGTCAAGATGGTCAGAAAAAGCTGACGTAAAGATGGCTGATTTGAGAACTGACCAATAAGTAGTAAATAGACAAAAAGGAGAGAAACTGTGTTCCAAGTATAGAGAAGTACAAATAGCAGATAGGAAAGACTGAAGGAAGGCCAGTGTGACTGGACAGAGTGAGGATTAAATAGAGAGATTGTGTGAGAAATTTATTTTTTTCCTCTTTTTTAAGTTACAAGACACTATAAAATTGTAAAGGGATATAACCACATAAACAATAGCTTTCCAGAGATTTTCAATAGAAATTAAGACTGAAATACAGAAAATAGCCGACTCTTAATTGATGATGAAAGCCAGAAATTAATAAAGGCTTATTTTTAACTCCACAGACCCCTCTCAACAAATGTTTTATAAACTCCTACCACCTTCTTGCCAATAGGACAGGTATTGGAAATGCAACGATAAAAACATGGTTTTTTTCTTCAGGAGGATATTGGTCATTTCAAATGTATCTCCACAAACCTGCTTTATCAAATCATTAAAAAATTCCTCAAAAGTATTTCTCCTTCTTCTTACCCCAAACCCTTACAGACTAAATGTTATTTTGTAGAAAATTATTGGAGGCACAGATAACCCGAGAGAGAGGGAATTGAAAGAAACAAACTGTAAAATCAGCCTCTGCTTAATAGAAAATTAACTTGTCATTGTGAATATACAGGAGTGGGCAAAGGAAATAAATAATAATACAAGAATAAACTCTTTTACATACTCACAACTATAAACCTACGGTTGCTCACTCCTGCATATTTATTCCACATAAATTGGAATGTATGTTATAATGTCACTATTTAAAAATAAAATAAAATCTTATTATTCTCAACACTAAATACATTGCAAACTACTATCTATTAAAAACTAACAAGAGACCAATCTTTCTGTATTTTCCCTTGAGGTCAGAAAAATTCACACCATATCTCTTTTTCTTACCAGGAACAACTCTAAGTCTACCCGTTGAAGCTTTTACTACAGGTCAGTATATCAATTCCTGACTTTTATATGTTAGAAATAGCTAACAGTATAAATTACTAGTAACTTTGGATTTCTAAGAAAAAAATTTATATGACAATTTGACTTTTGAAAAAAATATTACCAACAAATAGTTTACACTGGACTTTTCCCACTGGTTTTGAACTTTTAAAAAATGAATTTAACTTGTGTTTGGCCAGTTTATATTGATTGGCTATAATATGATAGTTTTATTTTCTTCCTTATTATTAACTATTAATAGAATATCTACAACAGTACTAAATAATATCAAGCTTAAATTTTTTTAAAAAGAATATAAGAGAAAACATATATCTAAAAATATATTGTGTTCTTTTAGGTGTTTTAAGCGTAAAAGTAGCAATTAGCTACTTGGTGATATGACTTCATCATTGTGATTTCACCCCTGAATGACAGTGTAATTAGGTTCCATTTCTTTGAGAGCAACCTTGTTAAGACAAAAGTATGCAAACTTAGTGTGACCCTATTACAGATTCAGAGAACATGACTTTGTTTCTTTAAGAAAAAAATAGCAAGGACTAAACCAAAATCTTAGAGGAAAGTGTCATCAAACTAGCTGAGAGTTCGTGCCCACCTGTGCACAGCAAGTCAATGAGAACTGACACCGGGTTTTCCAGCGATGAAATAGAAGTGATTTTATTGGGATGGCACCACCCAGGAGAAGGGGAGGCTGGTGCTCAAAATCCCAACTTGCTGGTGACTGATAGTCAAGAGGTTTTAATAGAACAAAAATGATGGGTAATCATGAGTAAGGGGCTTAGGGCTGTGGGGCTTGCCGATGGGTCCTTGATTACGTAAGCAGTTCATTTTCATCTTCCACTTGTCTGCTGCCCTCCTGCGTCCTCTAGTCTGGTTTCAGAGAGTTGTGGTGGGCGGGGTGGTCATTCCACCATGTGGGCTGAAAACCATCTTATTACAAAATAAGATGGTTTTCATTTGACTTTATACTCGAGCATCTTTCACTTATAAAAACGCGTGTCAATAAGTTCCCTTGGTGTGCGGGGGTGAAAGCTATACATCATGAGACCCATTGATTGAATGCCGCGGAGCAGGTCTTGGGCTGAGCGATTTCTATAATGGTCAACAGGGTGCTAGGTGGCTTCCTTCCTGTGGCTGTTCACCCAGCTTACAAACCTATTTTGTGTTAAAGATATTTTTGAGGGTGTTAACACTCTAGCTTCAAAAATAAGATTAGAAAAATACCTTAGGGAACTCTGGGTAGAAAGTCACTGGGTTTTTGATTCTATTTTCTATGCGAGGAATTGATTGAACAGTTAAGTCGCCCATTGGCAACAAAGCCCGAGTATACTTGAGCTGAGTTCATTTCCTGTTTTTTTCTCAGGCCTTATGAGTACTCCGTTTCCCGTCACCTTCACAGCTGGAAGTGCAAGCACCTCTGGAGCAGTGGGTCCCCTCTTCACCAGTCCTTGGCACGTAGCAGGTACAGTGAGTCCAGAACAGAGTACACAGCCACGACTAAGCAACTGGTTTCAGGCAGTGCTTCTCAGTACAATATTTTACAACATAAAGGTAGCTGGCTTAGATATATTATCAGACGTAGGTGTTCTTTTATTAAATTTTTTATTTTTTTAAAATAATTATTTATTGTTTAAAGTATTACATATGTCCCCTTTTTCTCCCATCGACCCCTGTCCGGCCACTCTCACCCCCCAGGACAACGTAGGTGTTCTTTTTATGTAACTAAAGTGTAGAGTCTTTGTTTTTTTTCACAGGTTGATTCCTTAAAGTATATCACCTTGTGACAGTTAAACATGCCCGTTACCTGGAGTGTTGACAGCGCCCATGTACTTTTTCTAGCACGTGTTTGTTTTTTATCTTCCCCAGGGACCACTGGATCATCAGCAAGTACAACCACAGGAGCTTTAAAACCAAGTTCAGCTGACACAGGCTTCAGAGAAGGTGAGATCCAGAAATGAGTCAAATGCTATTTCTTCCATAGCTCCTTTTCATAAGCGGTCCTCTGTTTCCAGTCGGGGACAATTGTACTCTGAGAACAGCATCAGGAAATGGGGGTCCAGTGATAGCACTAAGGCACCTGGAGGACTTTGGGAAAATATTCAATAATTAGTCTTTCTATATTAAATCAAATATTAGTGATATATTTCTAAAGTACACTAAAATGTCTAAATTATGCTCAAATACGTAACAGAATTTAATCCATGTTAACACCATGGTAGTTAAATCTCTTTATTGCCATTAGGAAGAAAATAATAAAAGGTCTCAAAGATGAGAGAAGCAGGAATAGAACCCAGAACCCTTAGCCTTCTTTGCAATAGCTACCATTCCCTGATCAGTGCATAAAGCATACATAAAAAAAAAAAAAGCCAAATGAGGATATGCTTGCCCTTGTGCATCACTGACTAAATTCCAACTATTACTAGTTTCATGAATAAGACATTATCGATACTCTTTACACATAGATAATATTCATCAGTTAATGTAAGTCCCTCTTTCTCTGCATCATATTTGCCTCTGCTCAGGTGTTAGATATTGTCCATCTGGTCTCTGCAGATGTCCACCTACCTCACCTAATCTTAACACCGTGGGATTCAAAGTGTGGTTCCCAGACCAGCAGCATCAACATCTCCTTTTAGAAATGAAAATTTGGGGGCCACCTCCCTAAAATCAGAATCTCTTAGAGTGAAACCCGGAACAGTGTATTAATCAACAAGCCCTTTTGGCAATCAGTGCCTATCAACGTTGAGAACATCTTTCTCCCTTTCCCTGCCAATTTATGCTTTAGTCAGTACCACTGGCTAGAATGGACTTCCTAAAATGCAACTGTGATCACATCACTCCACTGTGTAAAATCCTTCCATTGTTCTGGTTGCTTTAGGATAAATAAAAACTCCTTTACATATCACTAGAAGCCATGCCTTTAGAGTATGCATGGGACTGCCTTTATGATCTAATTCATGGTCTGATTTTAAGAACTAATCTATGGCCTGCTTTTGTTTTTCTACATTTATTTTCCTTTAGCAAATTTCTTGACTTAAAATTTATCTCACATACTTTTTTGGAATAAGCTATAGTTTACATAAAAATACTGTGTTCAAAGATAGAATCTCCAGCAGCAGAAATTAAGAAACTGCTTATTTTCAATTAGATCAATGAACTGACTCAAACTTTAGGGTGATGACTGTTTAGTCTACAGTCCTTAAAATTTGAATCAGAATTATTTGGCTAATAGTGACAAGTCAATCAGTGAATTTTTTTTTTCGGTTACCAGGTAGTAGTTTTAAACAGAGTTGCTGAAAGTTTGGTCCACAAATGAGTGCCATCAGAACCATTGATTACTGGTCATGATATAGTAAGAACTGAAACAGAGAACAGGCATTTAGAAACAGCAGTTTTATCAGTGGTTGAGCGTCGATCTATGAGCCAGGAGGTCATGGTTCAATTCAAATCCTGATCAGGGCACATGTGGAGTTGCTGGCTAGTTACCCAGTAGGGGGCGTGCAGGAAGCAGCCAATCAATGATTCTCATCATTGATGTTTCTATCTCCCTCACCCTTCCCTTCCTCTCTGAAATCAATAAAAAAATATTTTAAAAAATAGAAGCAGCAGTTTCACACAGTCCCTTTAATACCTCCTATATAAAAGCTTATGTTTTAAATGATTTTATTAAAAAATATTTCTCTACTTTCATGGCATTTCCCAAAACACCAATATAGGGCAGATTGACATTTTTGCAGCATTGCTCATTTGCCACAGATCGTTTGAGAAGCAAAAGTTAGAGCGTAAACTCTGGGGCTAGACTACCTGGGTTTGGCTTCTGGACCTGCTGCCAACCAACCTAGTGACCTGGAGAAAGTCACTTACCCGCGTCTGTTAAATGGGAATATTATTACCTGCCTCAGAGGATGCTTATAAGACTGGATGAGTGGATTTATGTCTGGGGTATGTTTTTAAACTGCTATTTTCCCTCCCAGCTGGAATAGGGGGCCCAACTGCACCACCAGTGGGAACTGAAGAAAAGAGCACACCTGGGGCAACAAGCACCGGAGCAACAAGCACAGGAAGAGCAGGCAAGTCAGGATGGGCACTTTAACGCCTGTAAAATGGTCCAGAACATATTCCAGGTCGAACTAAAGATGAAGCTGTGTGTGACATTAGATCCTCTAGCTGCAGGAACTCTAGGTGTCATTGGAGATTTCTTTTACATTAGAATCCTGGATTCCGTCACATGAGAGTGACATGTAGAATCCTACTGCTCTAGAAGTAATGCCCCTTCCTTGCTGTTATGCCAGGGACCTCAGAAGGACCAGAGGACTTCACCACCACACCCGGGAGCCAGAGCACCAGTGGAGGAGACACAACTGCCCCAGGCACAACCTCGGGAGGCAGAGCGGGTATGGAAATGGGGGCTCGGAAGCATTTTCTTACTGACCACAGGGAAGCCACCAGCGGCTTCTACTGGGTTATTAGCTGGTAGTCAATGTGCGCGTTCATCATATCACCATCCCTGCATCTATGGGCTGAATGGCTGTATTTCACTAACATCAGCTCACAGGTGACTTAGAGCAAAAAGTATTATATTGCAGACTCCTGCCTTTGAACTACTGAGGCTCTGAGTCTGGGTGGGGCTCAGGTAACGGTTTGCAATCTTGGCTACACATTGGAATTGACTAGAGACATTTTTTGGAAAATGCATAATGGAGGGCCTTTTAATGACTAGTTGAATCAGAACTCCTGGAGGAAGAGCCCAGGCACAAATGTTGTTTAAAAGCCTTATAGTTGGTTTCAATGGGGTTGAGAACCACTAGGCTAGTATATCTGAATGTGTAGTAAGCAACCCAGGTGATTCTTATAATTAATTTTTAGAAACAGTGAGGCTAGTATTTCTGTATGTGTAGTAAGCAACCCAGGTGTCTCTTATAATTAATTTTTAGAAACAGTGAGCTTGAAATGCTTTAAGTATGAACAAATATATGCAAAGTATTTGAAAGAAGAGAACAGCAAAATTTGTTCTGCTTAACCATAGCTCAATGGTATATATGTATTTATTGTTTATTTTGAAAGGGACTACTGAGTCATCAGCTGGGGAAACGACTAGAGCTCCAAGTGGTGAAGGGACACCCTCTGAGGAAGGCAAGTCAGGTGAGCAGAGGGTGTCATTCAGAGGCCGTGGCTTTGTCAAAATGGACCAAATTAAATCAGAGCTTGCTGATTTCACACAAATCCATCATCTACCATCCAAAAAAAATAAAAAATAAAAGGGTATAAAAATGATTAACATTTTCTTTTTAAAAACATATATTTTTATTGATTTCAAAGAGGAAGGGAGAGGGGGAGATAGAAACATCAATGATGAGAGAGGATCATTGATTGGCTGGCTCCTGCATGCCTTCCACTGGGGATCGAGCCCGCAACCTGGGTATGTGCGCTTGGCTGGAATCGAACCCAGGACTTTTCAGTCCACAAGCCAACACTCTATCCACTGAGCTAAACCAGCAAGGGCAGAATGATTAACATTTTCAAGATTTTTCATTTTTCTGGCTTCTCCAAATCTTCCCTTCAAAAGTGGCACAGTACTGGGTTGTCACAATAAGGCACATGCTCTCCCCATACTGTGTTTGTCAGGGGTAACAGCAGAGTCTGGGAATTACTGTTGGAACTGGCAGTAGCAGCACAGCTAGACCACTGCTTCCAGCCCAACAGGGATCTCAGCAGCCAAGGTGCAGTCTCACTTTGGTGGTGCTCCATCATGAGTTTAGCGGAGACCCTACATTCTTATGAGGACTGTAAGTGCATTTATTAAAGGCTATGGCTATCATTTTAGGACAAGTAAACATAGGTAGTGGGAGCATTTGCAACACAACCATCTATGTAGACTAGAATTGCCAAATAAAAAACACAGAATGCCATTTACATTTTAAATTACTCCTAAGTGAGAAATAATTTTTTAGTATAAATATGTTCTATGCAATAATTGGGACATGGTTGTTTGTTGCTTATCTGGAATTCAAATGTCACTGGGGGTCCTGTATTTTTCTTTGCTAACTCTGGCGATCCCTGTGTGGCCTGATCACCACCTTTCTTTTTAAACAGGAACCACTGGGGGCGAAAATGTAGCCACCACTGGAGCTGCCGGTGAAAAGACTTCTGGAGCATCAGGTACTGAAAGAACATAGAATACATCTAGACAACAGAAATGTGATGTCTTTACTCAAAATTTTGTCAGAGATAAGGTTTCCTGGGGAAATTTAACTCATTATTTGTGTAATGTGAAAACTGAAGAAGATCAGAGATAAATTAATAGCTATTTATGATGTGTCGCATCATACTCTAGAGAACATAGGGGCAGAGTAGAGTCAGGTACTTGTTCTCTTAGAGCTTAATTTTCGAGCAAGAGCAATGAGTATGTATATCAATGCAAAGGCAAAGGCCATGCAAGGCAGAAGGTGATCAAAGTTAAGGAAATGTTCAAGGACAAGTGTTGGAGTGGGAATTCAAGAGGATATTCTAGCAAGAGAAGGGATTAGATTGGGATTTACTCTCTTTTGAAAGAATATATTATGCTCAGTGCAGTTTGACTATATCGACATGCTTTAACTTGAGCAAAACTCAAAACATAAGTACATTGAGCAAAAGTGAAGGTATATATTCAATTCCAGGGGAATAAAGAGCAGTCATATTTCTAGTATCGGGGAACTAGAAATGAAAACAAATTCTCCTGGCCACGAAGCAAACATTTTTATTATTTAATATGGATTAAATTAGAAAGTGATGCAAATTACAGGCCATTTGCTAAGCAATTGTAAAGACAGACCTCTCACCAAGTAGACACAATCCATTACCTTCAAATTCTCAAGAAAAATTATATTGGTCTTCAAGCAACAAAACCTGATAGCACTATTTATTACATATAGTTCATCCTAAACTCATCTGGTAATTGCGTGCCATCTGGTTAGTTCATTGGTTTCCTACAAAGGGAAGATAAACCTCCTATCTTGATGACAGGAGGAAGTTTTATAACCAGAGGAAAACAAGGGAAACATCTCCCTAAGATTTACATCTCAAAGAGACAGGGCCAGAGTTCATGAGAAAGACACTCCTTGGGTATTATGATGGCAAGAGGCCTATCAGTTTTTTTTTTTAAAAAAGATTTCAATAAATTTCCAAGACACAGAGAAAGAACTTAAAAATACAAAATTTCTAAAGTCAATGTTCTAAGAAAAGGAAGGGGGAAGTCCCTTATTTCTGAGAGAATTAAGCTTCACTCTTATTTTAAATTATTTTTCCTCTCACAAGCCAGCCTCAAAAATTGATCAATTTCATATTTTAATGAGCTAACTTTTTATTTCTATTATAAAATGAAGCTACGCTCAGCTATCCCATGGGGCAACCCCTGGAGCTGGATGTGGCAGCCCCCTGGGGAACCAGGCGCTGGACCCAAAGTCCTGGGAGGTCAGACAAGTCTGGACCTGACTTTTCAGCTGTTCCCAACTATCAAAAGAGAAAGAAAACAAAAAGAAAAAATTCAACTTAAGAGTTTGCATAGCAAAAAACAAATGCTTGAATTTAGAATCCAAAATCACATTAAAATAATTCAATAATTTCTACTTCTTTTTAGTGAATTTTTTTTTCAAAATTAGGAAACCCATGAATATAGTTCATCATACTAACATATCTAAGAATAAAAACAACTATAGAGGCTGAAAAGGCACTTGATAAGCATTTGATAACCATTTCTGATGAGGAAAAAATACTTCAAAATAAGTAACCTGCTAAAATAGTGCCCATAGGTAAAAATTGCTCTTAGAATCAATATTATACTGTAACCTCAGTTTTCTTGTCTGCAAACGTGGGCAATGTAATCTATTAAGTGAGGATCCCATGAAATAATGAATAAATGTATGTCAAAGCACATTTTTTTGGAATGTATGGAGTAATAATTATTATTAATATAGAAAATGGACGTTTCTGTAATTGTTATTTGGAAGTCAATTTAAACCAGAATTGATTACCTCACAGTTTATGAAATTCTATGAATGAACTCTTTCCATTTTTTCCTTTACAACAGGTACACCTGGGACATCAGGTGGCACAACTGCTGGAGGTAAAAGTACATCTGAGTCACCCAGCAGTGGGACTACAAGTTCATCAAATAAGCTAGGTGAGATAACTAAATACAACAAAAATTCACAAAATCTTATTGGTGTAGACACTTGTTTATAAGAGGATCTTTCCTGTTTAAAAATCAGAACTCTGAAATTCAAATATGTGAATCAATTAGGAATATTGCCATTACATTATTTGTCTGCTATTCAGTATTTATGCACTATTGGGATGTCAGTTAGCGTGACCAATGAAGTCACAGATAATGACATTGATGTGACAGTTCAGATATTCTCCATTACTAAACAAGCTTAATACAGCATTTTAAAATTGATACTCCAATTTAGAAATCACTTGCATATTTTTTGATACAACCATAGTGGAGTTAAGTAAAAAGTAATAGTGACAATCTAACATTTCATCTTATGTTTGGTCCTTAAATGAAGATTTGGAGTTAGGCTTCTTTTGAGTTACATACTTTGCTCATCCACTTAGTTACATTTCTTTATCTAAGGTCTGCATTGTTCTACAAAAAAACCCACTGAGGCAACAAACAAAAATGCATAATGGTTAAAAGTGCTAAATAATTATAAGATATGTCAGCCATTTTTGTATTTCATTGATTGACAATATAATTTTTCAATACTAGAAATATTTAAGAGTTCAATAAATTATTTTGTTTCTTGAATAATAGGCCTCTGGTTACTAAAAGTTTATCAACAAGGATTTCAAATTTCAAGTTAGAAATTTTCTTTTTACAAAAACTACTATCTTGAGTATTTAGAAAATTTTTGTGGTTCCTTAGTATACAAAAATATCATGGTATAAAATATTAACATATTTTCTATAAGTTTTTAATTGAACAAAAAAAGTGATTTAGAATTATGATGAAAAGCTATTCCAATTTCTGAAGAAAATTTGACAAATAACATTCCACACCAAAGATGTAAATATAATTCTTCAAATTAAAGTATGATACATTACATTCTTATAATCTGCTTTTTTTATTTGTTATATATTTTGAACATTTTATCTATGTATTTAAATACCAGCAGCATCAATTTTATTTACTATCTAGTAGACTATCATGAAGAAACATCATAATTTAATAATATTATTTTTAATGTAATTTTTTGAATAAGAAATATATTTGTACAGTCCAAAAATCAAAAGTTTATAAAGGTAAACCCAGAAGTCTTGCTGCTATCCTACTCCTTTCCTCATCAGTAACCCCTTTTATTAGTATGCTTTCAGTGTTTTCTAATACAAATATAAGCTAATGCAAGTATATATTCTTTTTTTTTAATTTAATTTTATTTATTTTATTTTTTATTATGGTTTATATATATATATATTTCTTTATTGATTAACTAAACAGAATTCTTGGTTTACTTTCATGCCCATAACTGTTCTCCCAATCCTCTCTATATCAATAAATGGTACCATAACTGACTCAGTTGACTCAGGAAAAAAATTAGAGTTATCTTTGATGTCTCTCTTCTTTTTATTTTGCACTTCCTACATACAGACAAGGCCTCTTAAAGCTATTTCAAAAACATATCCTGAACCCATTCACTTTTCTCAATCTCATTTATTACTACTCTAGGCCAAGATACTCATATATCATTCGGGTTCCTGAAATCACTTCTTTTTACAATTTATTATTATTATTATTATTATTATTATTTTATTTTGTAAAATATATTTCCATTTCAGAGATGAAGGGAGAGGGAGAGAGAACATCAATGATGAGAGATAATCATTTATTAGCTGCCTCCTGCATGCTCACCAATGGGGATAAAGCCTGCAACCCAGGCATGTGCCCTGACTGGAAATTGAACCATGACTTCCTGGTTCATAGGTTGAAGAAAAAAACCACTGAGCACAAAGTCCAAGCCTGAAATCACCTCTTACTGGTTTTTCTACTTCTATAATACAACCTTTACCATATATTCTCTACAGAGTGGAAAGAAGGATTTTAAATATATATAAATGTATAGCTCCCTTGCATAAAACTATACTATATTGCATTTAGAAAGTGTACAACTTTTCTCTCATTTCAAATAGCTTACCCAATCCAATGAATATATCTTCACCTTCTAATGATTTCCCACTAACCTCCTATTAATACCTATAAATTCACCATCTAGTTCTGCTTCTCTAGCACATGTAATTCAGTTATCCTTATGGCCTTTGCAGTAGCTGTTTCCACTGCCTATGATATTTCCCATGACTGTCTGCTTCTTGTCATATCTCAAAATAAAATGGCATCTTTTCAGAGAGACTTTGCTAGCCAGGCTGTCCAAAATGAAATCCCAGTTGCTCAGAATTTCCTCTCTTTATGTTAGTGCTTTGAGGCTTTCTTTGTTTGTAAATTTCTTTGGTTGGTTGGATAGTAATTTTACTTTTATGTCTACATGTCTCTCACATCTACTAGGATTATCTATGGGATTAGAGAACTATCTACTTACTAGGTAAATCTTAGAGAAATGACTTAAACTATTTTAAGTTTTTTCTCTATAAAAATGGAAAGTAATACTATACATATCATAGGATTGTTCTGATGCTAAAATGAGGTAATACTTATAAATTTTTGAGAACATACATGGCATATAAAATATTCAATAATGTTAAATGAGTAAAGAGTTAGGAAGAAGGTACACTGTAGAAAAATAAAAGGTATAATAAAATAGGATGGTGGCAACAGGAATGAAGGTGCACAAAACTATAGTTTAGAAAGCAAGATCAGAAGCTGGAGGATCAGGGACGACAGAATTATCAACTGGAGCAACAGGAACAACTGTAACGTCTGCTACAGGTTCAGAAACAACTCAATTAATATCTGAAAGAGTAGGGACAACAAGACAATCAGCTGTAGAGTCAGAGACAACTAGTGGAATGTCAGGAATCACTGGTGTAACACCTGAGGGATTAGGAACAACTGGAAGATCAGCATCTGGAACAACTGAATCATCTTCTAAAGGTTCTAGAACAACTGAATCACCATCCAAAGGAACTGGGACAACCAGAACCCCAGCAGAAGAAAAAGGAACAACTGGTCCAACAGCTGAATCGACAGGATCCACTGGTGTAACACCTAGAGGATCAGGGACAACAGGAACATCAAAATCTGAAACAACTGAAACATCTGCTAAAGGGTCTCAAACACCTGAATCATCATCTGAAGGTCGTGCAACAAATAGGCCATCTGAGGAAGAGACAGAAACCACTGGCCCAACAGGTGGAAGGTCAGGAACCACTGGTGTGGCACCTGGGGAATTAGGGACAACTGGATCACCTGCTCAGGGTTCTGGGACAACAGAATCACCATCTAAAGGAACTGGGACAACCAGAACCCCAGGAGAAGGGAAAGGAACAACTGGTCCAACATCTGAAATGCCAGGATCCACTGGTGTAACACCTGGAGGATCAGGGAAAACAGGAACATCAGAATCTGGAACAAGTGGGTCACCTGTTAAAGGTTCTAGAACAACTGAATCAGCTTCTAAAGGAACTGGGACAACCAGCACCCCACCAGAAGGGAAAGGAACCACAG